GTATTGCGTGCGGAAATTGCTACCATTTTCGGCCCAAATGTGGTAGGAATTTCCGCACGCAATACAAAAGTATACAAAATTTGCGAACTTTGCAAGGCCATATTTTCCGCATTTTACAACATTTCGCAACCAAACTTTGCAATTTTACTAATTTTAGTATGCTCTTTCTAGCTGTGGTGATTTATTTGCTTCTCCTTGCCTAGTTCAGTTTAAAGTTAGTCTATAATGGGAATTGTCCATTGTTGAGCCTTGCAGACAATGTATACTACTATTTGTCTGTAATTAAACTTGTAGTCGAAATTCAGTTTGCGTTTTATCTAGAGAAAATCTCACATCAAGACCGCTTATAAATTTTCAAAGAAGCTTTTCAAAAAATTTTAAGAGCACTTCTCAGTTAAAAAGCTAGTCAAAAATGTTTGCAGTAACCGCTGTATAAGCTCAGCTAAAATTTATTAACGCTCGTCAAGATGTCTGCATTATAGATTGCCCAAATTCAAAATACGCCATGGTTGCCAAGTAACGGGCAGGTGTTCGACCGTTAATTTTCCAATGGGAATATATGCAAAGAAAAATGATTTGCTTGCCTAGATTGTTTACCTTGTTAGACTAAATTTGTCACGAAGAATACAATGTTTTAGCGATAAACGTTTGCTTAAACATTTACTAAAAATGCGAGTATTTGTCTCGTTCCAAGAAACGGTTCATAGCCTGGACGTCGATGTTAGGGAAACGGTACGTGATATTAAGAACGCGTTAAGAGAACGCTTCGGACTTAACTTAAAAAACCATCGAAACGAAACGGATCAGTTTGTATCCTTAGTTTATCAAGGTTCGAGTCTTCAGGATAGCTGGGTATACTCGGATCTTGGTATCCCACCGGGGTCCACCCTGGTTTGCTGCGTGGAGAAGCAAGTAGAACCGACCCTGATTGTACATTGCATAAACTACGATGAAAAGATTGAATATAAGCAGAATTTTAACGTGTGGGACACATTGGTCGGGACATTACGTGGCATGATTCAAGATTCAGCTGGCATTCCCGTGAGTGCGTTTAGACTATATTCAGAATCTGGCCTAGAACTTTTCGATTGCCATCCGTTAAAGGTATACGGTGTAGATACAGGCGATACGGTAACCATGGAAATATGGCGCGACGTTGCGGACACCGTACATGCGGCGCGGGACAACGATATAACGGATACTTTAGACTCGTTAGCCTCGTTTCAAGACGGACCACATTTGATGCGATATCAGTTGCAATTAGGGTTGTTCACCGCGGCACATTACGGCTATCATCAATTGGCCACACAGTTAATGAAATGCGGTGCAAAACCGGACGAACCGGTTGGACAACATCCGTCACGTGATTGGTGTCGTGCGTCGGCGCATGTTGATCACGTGAAGACACCTGCGCACGAAGCTGCGCAACACGGACGATTGAAATGTCTACAACACTTTCTAATGTTTAACTATGCTGTATTAATTTGCAAAGATGCGCATGGCTTAACGCCTTGTAATATCGCGCGAAGACACAAACAAACCGAATGCTTTAAACTCCTGGTCGCAGAACAATTTAGAATTCCCAGCGTCCATCCCGAGCTTAGTATACACGTGTACTCGCGCGTACGCAAATGGTGCAACCGCGCAAGAATGCGGGCGCGGGTACATAAAGACAAGACAGCGATGCTCTTACTCACGAATGCCGAGGTCGCGCAGAAGTGTGCCGTTGTTGGACAAAGAGTCGAAGTGGATGGCTTTAACGGTTTGGGGAAAAGTGACAGAAAGATTAAAAGTGCGCCGTCTAGTTTGAATACAAGTAATGAGAAAATTACGGTGGACCCTAAGTCACGTAGTGCAACGTCTCGTGGAAATCTACCGACTAGCCAATCTAACACTAGTAAGAAAAAGATTCACATCAGCTCTAAGTCGCATTCTTTTTCTCGTGGGTTATCCCATGGAAATATACATCGGTCTAACCATCAAGTTGGCTTACAGTCTCGTGGGAAGACAGAGTTTAACCCTTCGTCTAACCCATTACTCCATAGAAATGCAGAGTCTGAACACTTGTCTAACCACAGTACAGAAGAGCCATTTTCTCTAGTCCAAAGGACAAAATCAGATGTCTCTTTCCAAGGAAATTCCAAGGCTTACCATTCAAATAATACATTCAGTTCAAATCTACATGACGCTTCTTATATGAACAGAAAATCGTACTACGACAAATCTAAACGTCAGAATTCAAACATACGACAAAAGAATCCCGAATTATATGGAAGACCGAAGACAAAATCAGCTGGACACGCCTACTCTGTAACTGGTCTAAATGCAACACCCGGCAAAAAAGAGCCGTTGACTTCTTCTTTTGTGACTCCACGCATGTCTCGCGCGGACCACACGACGTCTCGTGACTCCACGCGTGGAGAACACGACGTTCCCCTCGCTGGGGAAACGCATCGAGAACCAACATTAACCGAATTAGGAGAATCTGGCAAGAGACCAAATTCGAGATATATCTGGAAATCTTTGGATGATGTGGTTACGGATAATCAGGAGAATCGTAGGATTCCGATGGACAAAAGAAGCCAGACAAGGACGCCTGTAAATGATGACCAACGTGATCCTGTTAAATCCAATGATAGCCCTAATAACAGTGGCGAAATTTCAGGGTTTACTGGAAGCACTTTGGGTAACACTGGCGAAAAACAGGATGGCAGACCCGTTTTTAGTCGGGGCAAGATCGGAGAATGCCGTCAAGAAGTTACTTCTAGCATTAACAGACAATCTTTGGCTTCCATTACCCGCGAGGCCTACAATACCCGAAAAGTGGTAGCGACCTTAAAGTCTGGTGCAACTCGTGAGGACTCGCATCAGGCTAGCAGTCCAGTTAAACGAAGGTCAGCTGAATCAAGGGACTTACTTTATCAAGGTTCTGTAGAGTCGAATGCTGAAAAGTGTTTAAGGGTAGCAAGTGAGACATTTCGTAAGAAAAGTTGGTTAGGTCAACTTCAAATGGCATTAGTCGTTAATACCAATATGTGTAAACGACGTTAGTATACTACATATATAGGCCTACAACTTTGTAAAGGTCTTCTTTTTTCGTATTTATAAAGATCAGGCTTTTAGCTGTCATTTGACACCTTTATCGAATCATTACGATAAAAAATGACCAAATACGATCTCATTTAATTAAAGTGGTCGGTTGAATTCACATTTTTCCACCTTTGGGATTTAAATGTTCTTCCAATTTCCGAACATGTGCCCATGTGTTTGCTGCCCATTTGGGAAACTCGAATGCCATTCTGAACCTGTCTGCAAGCTTCCAGTGTTGTAAAATGCTTTAGCCACTCAATTTCGATGCGTAAAATTGCGAGTAAAAGTTTATCAAAACTTTGATGCTTAAGCCCTGGGCAAACTAGGAAACATTGTGTCATTGTTGCGGAAACATTTGTGATTCTCGATGTTTCCTCAAATCACAAATGTTTCCATGTTTGCCCATGCACCCGTGGAAACATTGTTGCGGAAACAAAATTTGCTTTCTTACCAAATTCAGAAACATTTGATGTTTCCCTATGTTTCTCATTAATGTTTCCTAGTGTTTGCCTACTCTGGGAAACATGGCGAAACATTGGCAGGAAACAATGTTTAATTCCGCAACAATGTTTCCTAGTTTGCCCTGTGCTTTACACATGCGTTGCGCCATATTTGCTGAAGGGACTTCAATTTGAATCCCAAATGAGAATAATTTCAATACTCAGACAATAGCTTTACATGCAATTCCCAATTTGGAAAAATGTGATATCGCTCGGCATTTTTAAACCGGATCGTATTTTGCCATTTTAAGATCGCAATGATACAAGACTGAAGGTAGTATTCGAGAGCTAAAAGCCAGATCTTTATTGGTATATTAAATTACTAATTATTTTCAACATATGATAACTTCTATATTAAATTAACTAAACAATATATTTAGTCTAGACAACTAATTTATAAAAACAAGGTCGAGGAAGAAAGCTTTTGCAAAACGAATCATAAGATACCGAACTTCTTATCCTTTCCGGTATCTGCAGGGCCGTAGCGACCGGGGTGACCCCCCCCCCCCCCCCAATAAGTATAGGTTATTTTGAGGCAACGAGGGGACATGCGCAGCGCCGAGGTGAATAAACACATATCCCCGAGGTGCCTCAAAATAACGTACTTATTTTTCACACTGCGAGGTCGCGTTAATGAGTCAGAAAAGAAATAATTCTTAATGCCATTTTGCCTTCGTGATGTTGTTTTTTCTCATTTTTTGTGCTGCAAAGACATTGCAGGTGAATATTAGAGGGGATTATTAATTGCAGGTGAATATTAGAGGGAATTATTAAACGGAAATTGATTATAGGGGAATATTGAATATATTCCCCGACAAGAACAAAGGAAACCGAGCAGGGTGAAAAATAATTATGAATAATATATTTCAGAAAAATGTCAGATATGTTTGATTGAAAATTCAGGTAATAATCATGTCTGAAATCGGGGAAGAATTTGCATTCAATATATGATTTAGGTTAATAGTCGGGTATAAATTTAGCACTCAGGGCCGATACTAACAGATTTGAGAGAATGGAAAATATAGTGGCAGTGATGCCAACCCCTATCATAACTGACCGGTCCCTTAGTTACTATCCCGAAATGATAATCGCAAGGATTAGATGTGGGGTTAGGATTAAGACACAAGTTTTGCTGCGATTTCTAGTACGATTTTCGTCTTCTGAAGCATGTGAAAGAGTAGATAAGTTACGAATGTTCTGAGTATTCTGAGTATGTTTACCCTTATCTGAACATTCATAACTCATCCACTCGTTCACATTCTGAGTATGTTTACCCTTATCTGAACATTCATAACTCATCCACTCGTTCACATCCATCAGAAGACGAAAATCGCGCGCACCCTCTAGGTACCAGATATCCGTCATCATTCCTGATGATGACTAAAGTATGGTCGGAAGCTTTAATATATTAACAATGTTTCTTTTCGGTGTTGTCGTTGTTTCGTATTTTTCACAATGTTTTATCCCAAGTAAAAACTACATCAATAGAAGCGTTAAAGTTCGTGCAACAATCCATTATTTAACAATTATTCGCCGAAGGCGAGGTGACTATCGGGGAATATTCGCCGAGACGATATCGAGGTGAATATTCCCCGATAATCACCGAGCCTGAGGCGAATAATTGTTTTAGTATTTTTACACAAGTCTTTTGTGTTTTTTGGGACTGAATTTATTTTAATTTTGAATTAACTTATTTCCTTATCAGTAACTTCCACAAAAGAGCTAGCCGCCATTTTAAAAATTTCGGTTTTGTTATATTCACCTGTAGGTGAATATAACACCTTAATATGTCAAATTTGACCAATCAACTTGTATGATTTGTTATGTTCATTTGTGCAAAAATACTAACAATCTTTTTATTCATCATATATCATTACACTATATCGGTCTCATAAATCAATTATTATTCTCGTAAAATTTTTTTTAATTTCAGTCAGGGTGGGAAAGGGTATTTTCGTGAGCCGTGAATGGTGAATATTTGTTCGTGTGAAATGTGAAATGCTTGATTTTAGTGTCGTGAAATGTGATTTGTTCTACAGCCGTGAGGCGTGATTGTTGATATGAATGCTCCGTGAAACGAGAATTAAGGATGCCTGTTTCGTGAACTGTGAATCATGTTTATTATAATAATCACTATAATAATATAGTGATTATTATAATAAACATGATACGCGATAATTTATATGATCTCACTCGATTGCACAAGAGTAAAAACTTCGGAGGCCTTTCGCGAGGTTCCTGACGCTCAGGACAAGGTTCCTGGCGGTGAGGACAAGGTTCCTGACGCTCAGGACAAGGTTCCTTGCGGTGAGGACAAGGTTCCTGGCGGTGAGGACAAGGTTCCTGGAGGTGAGGACAAGGTTCCTGGCGGTGAGGACAAGGTTCCTGGCGGTGAGGACAATGTTCATGGCGGTGAGGGCAAGATTACTGGCGGTGAGGACAAGGCTCCTGGCGCTGAGGACAAGGTTCCTGGCGGTGAGGACAATGTTCCTGGCGGTCAGGACAATGTTCCTGATGGTGAGGACAAGGTTCCTGGCGGTGAGGACAATGTTCCTGGCGCTGAGGACAAGGTTCCTGGCGGTGAGGACAATGTTCCTGGCGGTCAGGACAATGTTCCTGATGGTGAGGACAAGGTTCCTGGCGGTGAGGACAATGTTCCTGGCGCTGAGGACAAGGTTCCTGGCGGTGAGGACAATGTTCCTGGCGGTCAGGACAATGTTCCTG